TTGGAATCCTTTCCAAGAACAACATTTGGAGCACGCCCCAACGGTGCAAAAAACTGAACTTTTCCCCTGCCAATTTGTGCTGCCAGGCTCGAATCGTCATGCGCCCCTGAAAACCCCCTCCTCATGCTGCTGCCAGGTCCAAGTGTGTCATGGGCCCCCCCGTACCGCTCCAAATGCTGCTGCCAAGGCCCGTAATCTGTCATGGGCCCCGGTACCGCCTACCGCCATGGCTGCTGCCAGGTCCAGATGTGTCATGGGTCCCCTGTACGCCTCCCATTGCAGCTAGCCAGGCCTGTAATCTGACCATGGGCCCCCCTACCGACATGCCTCTGCTGCTGCCAGGCCCGTAATCTGCCATGGCCCCCTGTACGCCTCCTCATGCGCTGGCCAGGTCCAGAGTGTGTACATCTATATGGTCACCTGTTATCGGCCACCCATTGCTTCTGTCTCTATCGCCACACTCTGGCCATGTGGCCACTGTTCAGGTCTCCATCACAGCTGCTGGTGGGTTTCCATTTTTGTCATTAGGGTGCTGCATTGGCACATCACCATTGCAGCTGCACCTCCACCGCCACACTGTGGCTCCACATCTATTGGTTTTTTGGCCGCCGTGACCTGGCGCCAAATGAGTAAGCATAATGAAGTGTGGCGGTGATTCTAAGGTTCGACCGGCCACTCATGACTGCATGTCAGAATACTGCCCTGTCTGTAATATTTGACTACTTCCCCCAGCAGACTCCAAGGAGGCATTTAAATTACAGGTTACATTAAGGTGCCAGAGTGTAAAGACATGAAGCCCAGCTCTTTTCTCTTAAGCCATGCCCCTGTTACTGATGAATGATACAAAAGCCACAATTTTTACCTATTGAAAGACAATGATGTTTCTGCAATCCAAATTTTTTACATTTGTCACTGAAATAAGAATACAACTGTTGAGGACAACTGTTCAGATGACAGTTCTATAAGAGGGAATTTCCCTTCACTTGATTTCATTTCTCGTTTTTTTTTTTTTATGGTGTAATTATTGCAAGGTATAAGCTCAGTAACACATTAATCATGACACTTATCATTATGCCTCAGTAGTATGCTCCGACTCTATATTTTATAACTTTAACTATTTGTTTTCTATTATTTTTATCCCATAGTCTAATGCATAATTGTAATGATTCCAACATTTGCTCAGTTGTATACCACCATGACAACTATTGTGATGGCTGAATGCTAGCTGTACTTCTAAAAATAATGCAATGGAGATGATTTACTAAAGGCAAATAGACCATTTACTTGCTGACTTCCATCATTCAAGCACATACAAGCAAAAACACAGTTTTTTTTTATTTTCCTTCAACATGATTGAGTATTCTTTGCATAGTGAAATTTGACCACAATCACTAAGCTCTGGGAAACATTCTCTTGCAAAATGCAATTTCCCTTGCAAAGTGGACAGCCCATTTGGCTTTAATAAACCAACTTCAAATGTCTCACCTAATTACACTACCAGTATCCAGAAAGGAAAAAAAAACAGTACAAACACATACAACCTGTTTCCTGTTGTATCTGTCACTGACAGGGGCGGACTGACAACTCATGGGGCCCCGGGCATCAGGGGATCATGGGGCCATTGTGTCCTTGCCCAAACTCAAAGTCTATGAAAAAGGTACCAGGGGCATCTCATGGGACCCCCTACTGACCCCGGGCCCTCGGGCAGGGCCCGAGTTTCCAAATGGTCAGTCTGCCCCTGGCCACCAATTACTGACACCTTTGTGGATATTCTACCACAAAAGAGGTACTGCACCAATTCTGACACCAGCATAAAATACTGTATATTCTTCAACAAAGCATGTCTGCACAGCAAGCTTGAACCCTACATTGTAAACTGTAGTATCACCTTTGCTAAAGTTCTATACATTGGAAATGCCTTGCCGAATTTCATAAAACTATAATAAACAAAAAGACAATTTAAACAAAAAGTAAGGGATGTGTTTATGAGGCTGTTCAGTGCTTAGAACTAGGGACATTTAAGAACAATATTTCCAGGGATAGATTTCCATAATTTTGTGCCATACTTACCAATCAGAAAGACCTGATAGCTATGCAACACTTCTGAATTTCTAGTGGAAAACTGCATATCTGCTATTTCCTGAAAAATCACCTGAATATGCTTAAAGGGGTTCTAAAGGCTTGCTTTTTTTCTTTAAAATAATAAAAATGTCATACTCACCTGCTCCATGCAATGGCTTTGCATAGAGCAGCCCCAATCATCCGCTTCTCGGGTCCCCCGCCATTGCTTTTGGCCCATCACCCTTGTCGAATGCCCCAAGAGCAAGCTGCTTGCTCCGGGGGCTCACACCCAAGCTGCCTCTGTGTGTGTTCAGTCCCGCCCTTTGATCCCTCCTTACTGGCTGTGATTGAAAGCAACAAGATCCAATGGCTCCTGTTGCTGTATCTCAGCCAATGAGAGAGACTGGGAGAGTCGATGCTCTCATGTATATCGCTGTACTGAGGTTAGGTAAGTATTTGGGGGGTTGAGGGAGGAGCTGCACACTGAAGGTTTTTTTACCTTCATGCATAGAATGCACCAACAGGAAAGAAGCAGCAGACAGTGACAGCGGGGGCTTAAGAAGAGGAGCTAAGGGGCTTATCTGTGCACAGAGGACTTAAGTATAAAGAAATAAACTTTAATATCACTTTAATAAAGACAAATCTCATTTGTAGGTGATTCGTAGGCACAATGCAATATACATGTTTACTGTCTGACTATAATTTGGACAGCTGTTTGTATTACACAAACACCTCTAATAGCTAGTGTAGCCTGGACTGCAGCTGATAACTGCCGCAGAGATTCTTCCTTTGTTGCTGCTGTATTATCATTCTGCAGTGAGGGCAGGGCTGAACTGAATATTCATTGATGCAGAAGTGCACTAGCCATCTTTACAGAGACCACTTTGCAATGTTCCTCTATGGAACGTCTCCACTGAAAGGGAGCAGCCATCTTGGATGGGTCTGGGTCAATCCTGGAAGGATGGTGAATGGCTGTGGCAACAAAGCAAGGGTAGAAGGGGCTTCAGACTGCTGGGAGGAAGAAAGAGGAAAGTCTTAAAGGATATGGGGTGAGAAAAAGAGTCTGGAGTGCTAGATGAATCAAACCCTGCCATAGCAGCAATTCCTATCCCTTTCCCAGTCTTTCTGAGGTCTCGCCCAACTTTCATCAGCTATGGCAGAGTTCCATTCAGCCAGCAGTCCAGACTCTTCTTCTCACTGCATATCCTTTAAGACTGTCCTCTCTCTTCCTCTCAGCAGCCTTCAGACCCTCCTCCCCTTGCTTTGTTGCAGCAGCCATTCACTGTCTTTCCAGGATTGACCCAGACCCATCCAAAATTGCTGCACCCTTGCACTGGGGAAGCTCCATAGACACACATTGCAAAGTGGTCTCCATATAGATGGCTAGTGCACTTCTGCATCAATGAATATTCAGTTCAACACTGTTCATACTGCTGAAGGATAATACAGCAGCAAGAAAGGAAAAAGTTCTGCAGCAGTTACCAGCTGCAATCCAGTTGACACTAGCTGTGTGTGTAACACAAAAAAGCTGTCCAAATTGCAGTCAGACACTAAACATGTATGTATTTGGCAATTTGCCAGAAGTTCTACTTTAACATAGAAGTTTGATGATTCATAAAAGGAAGAAATAATGAAATAAATGAAAATTACAACAATCTTTCCAAGTTGAGATGTTTTCTAGTGCAGACATGAAAAGCCACATGTTTAGGTTTGCAGTTCATATTCAACTTTCCAGTGACACAGCAGGGTCTGAGTCACAGGCCTGGTTATTGCTGGCTGACAAAGTTTAAAGCTTATATATACAGTATGAAGTGTAAAATTACAGAAAAGGCTCAACTACTACCTGCTGCTTTGATATTAGGCTGAAAATTGAAAATCACAGCCGTTGTCTACCGTAGATCTGGGCTGATAATAGAGGAAATGTGATATAGTTACACAACACCAATCCACTGTTCAGAATTACATAAAATAGATTACTTTTTGAAGGCTAGAACCTCCCAGATTTTTACTAAGAATACAATTTACCTCTTAACTGTTTACAATTAGAAAACCTGTTGACAGATGCATGGCGCTGTTTGCATCTTAATATTGCAATTCCCCCCTTCCAAACATCATAGCTGAGTAAGTCTGAATCAGGTAAAAAACCAGATTTGCCCCATTGATCCAAAAAAAACCCAAGAGGAGCATAATGATACAATAAAAGTTCCATAGACACAGGCATGTCACCTGCTCCCAATGATCTTAAAGTGGGATTGTTTATTTTAATATCAACCCTCTAAGCATCAGAAAATGAAACACTCTTAGTAGGTAAAAGTGAAAGATTTAAGAGCCAGTTTAAACATCTTTTTCTTTAGGTCTAAATTATTCTTTATAGCAGTGGTTCTTAACCTTGTTGGAGGTACTGAACCCCACCAGTTTCATATGCGCATTCACCGAACCCTTCTTAATTGGAAAAATAAAATATGATTTTTAAAATTCAAAACATAGGTATATATTTATACATAGGTGCACAAAAATGAACAAAAAACCGTTAAGAACAAAGAACAAAACCATTAAAACATGATTTTCACACAAAAACAAAAACATAATAATGAATATTTACTGCACGAATCATATGAGTCGGGTGTGGGTTTTCACCTCTGCCGAACCCGCGAGACTGACTCACTGAACCCCTGGGGTTCGATCGAACCCAGGTTAAGAACCACTGCTTTATAGTAAGACAGAATTAGCAATAAACATTATGGGATTGGTTTACTAAAGCAAATAGGCTGTTCACGTTGCAAAGAAAGTTGCCCTTTTCCGAGATAATTTGCCTCAGAGCTTAGTTAATGTGGTGACGTTTCACTTTGCAAAGTATACCCAATAACATGCCAGGAGAAAAAAACTATTGTTGCTTGCACATGATTGGATGATGGAAGTCAGGAGAGCTTCACCTCATTCACTAAGCTATTAGGCACGTTCCCTTGCAAAGTGCAACTTCTCTTGCAATGTGAACAGCCTATTTGCATGGGCACAATGACAACACTTCAGACTTCTGAAATGGTTCAAAGGTAAAGTGGAAAACTGCCAGAGGTTGAAAAATTCAGTTTGAAGTTCAGCCTATCAAAAATGATGTTGTAGGATTTGTAAGAAGAGGCATTTTCAAGACAAGTAATGAGTTAAGAGCTTGCAGCTTTACAACAGCCATAGAAGTAAATCAAGCCCACAAGTGTCCCAAGTTTTGTTGATTATTTACAAACCCTCTGTCTGTAAAAGGGCAGTAAAAATACATGGTTGGGGCACAGTTGTAAGATTTCATTTCACTCGGGCAGACAGATCAGGACCGCCTGTCTGTTTTTCAGGTGAACCCAATCGAACCACCCATTACCCTCAATGGATCCACAGATGTAGACTGATGTGTATCCGTTTACACCTGCCTGCATCCAATCTGCTAAACACTGGATATATGGGGGATCTGTTCCTTATGCGTCTAGCGGATTGGATTAGATGACAGTCAGATGTAAACAGTCAGGCGGTCTGTTTACATCTGACTACCCATAGAGGACAGCAGGCTGTGTCCGTGTCAGCTCTGCATAAGCAGAGCGGACACGGACCTGTCATCTGCCTGCTCAGAGGGGATCAGCAGACAGATCCCTCGCTGAGCCAGTGGATCAGCTGGCGGAGTCTGCCCATGTGAAGGGGGCCTAATCTAACAGCTTTTTTCCTGCTGTTTCTGGGTCTACCACTGTCAGTGATCTTACATGGTCTTTTATGCAGAAACAAACCACATATCACTAAAGTGTATATAAACCCAAAAACAAAAATATAATATGTTGTAGCTTACAGTCCTTCTGTTTGGTAGCTGCCTTCATTTTTTTTTCAGGACACATAGATTTTCTGCCAGTACAGAAAAATACCTCTTCATTCTAAAGTGATTCCTGTGTCCTTGTAGCTTCTTGTGGGTTAAACTGAAAACTCAATGTTATTAGCTTTCCAAGCTCCTCTTCCTTGTCTAATGAAAATGAGGAGAGCGAGAAATGTTTGTAGCCCCAATCAGAAGCGAAGTCTATGTGACACTACTGTTCTTTCATAGATAAAATACGTTGAATTATATGTAAATATACTGTGAATGGGTGAAGAAAATGGAAAATATCTATGTAGCTGTAGACTGCAATATATTACATATTTGGTTTTTGTGTTTAGATAGGCAGAGAAGTTGGACTTTGATGTTGTACATTAAAGCATTGTTGTTTTTATCACACATTCACCTGGTGCCCTGTTCTGTTCTTTTGCACGTCAATGAGGGATTCCTCATATCCTTGGCGAGGCGCTGCCGGAATTGTTTGTGTTCTATTCCATTGTAATCTAGCTGCCCTACTCTTTGATGCAGATCACACTATGAACTAAAATGTATTTACACTGTTTTAATTTAATTTAATTTTATTTTCACTTCTCTGTTTCCATTGTAGTCCATGAGCACTGAATTGGCTGGCTTGTTATTGTTTCAAGTAGCTCTTTTAACTCACTATTTAGAGAAGTTATACTGATTGTAGTGGAAGAAGCAAGAAACAAGGTCAAAAAGATCTTTAAAGCGGACCTTATGTGTAAAATGTAAGATCTAATTTACTGCAAGTCTCTAACACAACAAGCACAAATATTTAAAAGCTATTAAATCATGAACACCCCCCCCCCCAATAAATAAATAAATACATAAATAATCTTGGCCCCAGCTTCCAACATTCAGCCTGTCTACTGGCAGAGCTGGGTGCCGAAATCTCATAAAAGTGCACACCT